CAGGTCAATATCCCTTATGAACATAGATGTAAAAATCCTCAACAAGATTCTAGCAAATCGGATCCAAAAACACTTCTCAAAAATCATCCACCATGACCAAGTTGGCCATCCCCATGATGGAGGGTTGGTTCAACATTCACAAGACCATAAATGTAATTAAATACATCAACAGATGTAAAAACAAGAACCACATGATGATACCACTAGATGCAGAAAAAGATTTTGACAAAATCCAGCATCCCTTCTTGATAAAAAACCCTCAAACACCTAGGTATAGAAGGAACATCCCTCAAAATAGTGAGTGCCATTTATGATAAACCCACAGCTAACATACTGCTAAATGGACAGAAACTGGAAACATTTCTCCTGAAAACTGGAACAAGACAAGGCTGCCTACTCTCACCCCTCTTGTTCAACATTGTGTTGGAAGTACAAGCTTGGGAAATTAGTCAAGAGAAGGAAATCAGGGGTATCCAAATAGGAAACAAGGAAGTCAAGTTATCCCTCTTTGCTGATGATATGATCCTATACCTTGAAAATCCAAGAGAATCTGCCAAAAACCTGCTTGCACTGATAAAGGACTGTGGCAAAGTCTCGGGGTACAAAATAAATGCGCAAAAGACAGTTGCATTCCTGTATACCAACAACAAGCAGACAGAGACCCAAATAAAAAGAACAATCCCATTCACAATAGCCACCAAAAAAATGAAATACCTCAGCATCTTCCTAACCAAAGAAATGAAAGACCTCAACAATGAGAATTACAAAACACTGCTCAAAGAAATCCAAGAAGACAAAACAAATGGAAAAATATTCCATGCTCAAAGATAAGAAACAATCAAAATTGTTAAGATGTCCATCCTACCAAAGGCAATCTACAGATTCAAAACAATACCCGTTAAGCTACCAACATCATTCTTCTCACACCTGGAAATGACAAAACAGAAATTCATATGGAAACATAAACAACCACAAATATCCAAAACAATCGTTAGCAAAAGAAACAGAGCAGGAGGTATCACACTCCCAGACTTCAACCTTTACTATAATAAAAACAGCCTGGTATTGGTACAAGAACAGGCATATAGACCAATGGAACAAGATAGAGATTCTGGAAGCAAAGTCTCAATTTCTCAATCAACTCATCTTTGACAAAGCCTCCAACAACTACCACTGGGCAGAGGAGAATTCAGTAAATGGTGCTGGGAAAACTGGCTCATGCAGAAGATTGAAACAAGATTCCTACCTATCATTATACACAAAAATTAACTCTAAATGGATCAAAGACCTAAACATAAAACCACAAACTATAAGAATCTTAGAAAACACAGAAGACACCCCTATGAAAATTGGAACTGACAACCAATTCCTGATCAAATCCCTAAGTGCCCAAACCATAAGAAGATAGACAAATGGGACCTCATTAAACTAACAAGCTTCTGCAAAGCAAAAGAAACCATCAAGAGAGCAGCCCACAGAATGGGAAAAAATATTTGCCAACTGTATATCTGACAAAGACATAACATCTAGGATCTACAAGGTACACATATGTGCCGAAAAGAAAAAAACATTAAAGAGTGGGCAAGAGACATGAATAGACACTTCTCAAAAGAAGATATTCGGACAGCCAACAGACACATGAAAAAAAAATGCTCAGCCTCACTAATCATCAGAGAAATGCAAATTAAAATTACATTGAGATACCAGCTAACCCCAGTAAGAATGGTCATCATTAATACAACAAACAACAGATGCTGGCAAGAATGCAGAGAAAAAGGAACGCTTCTACACTACTGGTGGGAATGCAAACTAGTGCAACATCCTTGGAAGACAATGTGGCGATTTCTGAAAAAACTAGAAATGTACTTCCATATGACCCAGCAATCCCCCTATTGGGAATATGCCTGGAAAAACACAAATCAGTCTACAGAAAAAATACCTGTACATACATGTTTGTTGCAGATATATTCACAATAGCAAAAACATCTAACCAACCGTGCTGCCCATCAAAGCTGGATAGGATTAAAAAAATTTGGTACATATATACAATGGAATATTATGCAGCCATAAAGAAGGGCAAACATATGGACTTCACAGCAATTTGGATGAATTTAGAGTTGATCATACTCAGTGGTCTATCAAAGAAACAAAGAACATATGTACCATATGTTCTCACTCGTAAGCGGACCTTGCACAATTACCATAATACTATAAGAAAAGGATTGGCAGTAGTGGAAAACTGCCAGGGGAGGGGAGTGAGATTGGCAGTTGACAGAAATTGCCAGGGAAGGGAGGGGAACACCTCCTCAACAAGGGTACCTGCATAATGAACATTTGTGTACCTAACCCTGAATTGTACCCCACATCTTTAAAATAAAAAATTTAAAAAATAATCAGAAGGTAGGTTAATGGAGGTAAAGTGTTTTAAGGTTCTAGAAATAGTCAAGAGTGCATGTTGCAGGTTGCAATCACTAGTAAGTCGATATAGATAGCAGGTTGATAGCAGATATAACAAGTTAATGATATATGTTATAATTTCAATTATAAGAGTGTATAACTAATAGAAGAGGGTAAACTAAATAATAAAAGTTAACTCAAAAGCAAACAATAGCAAAAAGTTCTTAAAGCAGCCAGGTCACACAGATAACAAACAGTAAAATGATAAGGATAAATCCAAATGTAGCAGTAATTACATTAAATGTAAATGCAATACAATTTCCAATTACTAAAACTATGAGATTAAATGAAAGAACAAAACCTAAATATAAGCTGGTTACAAGAGACACACTTTAAAGAATGCAGGATATTTGGAAGTATCATGATGGAAAATATATATCACGCAAATACTAACCAAAGAAAACTCTTACATAGTTTTACTAAGACACAAGGAACTCCAAGTCTCAATAAGGTAAATCCTTTCAAAAAGAAATTGGGTAACATGGATTAGAGATGATAGTATCTCAAAAAAACAAGGTAAATAGTTACATTTTACTGATAATAATTGGAGTATCTCAAAACTCTCTCACTAAATCCAATCAGGAATTATTACTCTTCAATTTAACTGATATAAAAAGTAAGCAACCTAAACAACTGCAGCATGTCAATGGGTACCTTAGGTTTCATTAATATTTTATAACATTAGCTACAAAACAAGATTTAAATTATATGCCTCAAATAAGAGAAATAATTTAAATGACAGACTAAGAAATATCTACCACTGAAGTAGAAAAGCACAATTCATTTATCTACTTGGTGGAAGTAGTAGTAACCATTTATTATTATCTGTATTTTGTTTAAATACTTAAAGGCTAGCACATTGCCACGTTTATTAAATTAGTGAAACTGATAGATTTAAGCTTTTATGGATTTTGACGACTATAGAAGCATAAGTAGCAAAGCAAGCAGCCTCTGGAGTACCAATCGCTCTTCTACCATTTTGTCAACCAAGCTAACGCAACACAGAAAGATTGGGGGAGAATGATCTAAAGAGTGGTAGGCAAACTTTTTCTGTAAAGGGGAAGATACTGACGACTTAAGTATACAGGACTGATAACATTTGCTGCAACTACTCAACACAGCCATAATTTGTAGCATGAGAGCCACAGATAAGAGGTGTGTGTGCCCTTGGTCCAATAAAGCTCTAGTTACAAAAATTTTACCAGTCTGTGATCTAGAGTAGTTGTTTTCAAAGTCTTGGTCCCCTCCACCGAATAAGGAACATTAACACCACCTGGAATCTCATTAAAAACAGTCTACTGGGAAACTATCAGGGAGAGAGGGTAGGATTGGCAGTTGAGGGAAACTGCTAGGGGAGGGAGGGGCACACCTCATCAACAAGGATACCCACATAATCAACATTTGTATACCTAACCCTGAATTGTGCATTACATCTTTAAAAAAACATAAGAGTCTTAGCTCTACCCTAAGTAGAATCAGAATCTCCAAGAGTTAGACCCAGTAATCTGTACTTTAACAAGCCCTCCAGATGATTTGGAAGCATAGTAAAGCTTGAAAACCACTGAGCTAGGGAAAATGCCATCACATCTACAGCCACATCCTGGATTGTCAAGATTAAAATATCAAAGAGAGGAAGAACTAAGTATCTACAAAGTCTCATACCCACCATATGTTCAACTGAGGCCAAAAACAAGGTTGAGGGTGTTAAAGGAAAAAAAAAATGGAAGCTACAGTTTAGATATACAAGGTCAACCACCCATAACCAAATAACCAAAGCTTAAGCTACCCTGATTTCCTCAAAAAGCTAGCTCTAATCATAAACAAAACACCAAACTTAAGCTTCATGTCCTTGTCAGCATTATTCACTGAAATTAGACCAGTTATAAACAAATCAGCTTAACCTACTTCACCTAAAAAGAATGTTAATGTATAGCCAGTCAGGAAAAATGTCAAAATACTACCTCCTTTATGCTTTATAAAACAAACCATAACTGCTATAAGGCAAGCTTCTTACCACTTGGTTTGAGGTCTCCCAGTTCACAAACTGTTCTTTCATATGCACAACAAACTTTTAAAGTTTTCCTAACTTGACCTGATTTTATTTTTGATAAATGAAAGAGAGGGAAGAAAAATTTTGGCCCAAAACCGCAGTTACTACATGGGAAATTATATCATTACTATTGGCATAATGTTAAAGTAGCTTGTATTACTTTGGGAAGGCATTAAAAAGCTAAAATTAATATTTAAAGTGTACCTAGATTTGACTGTACATTGACTTTCATCAGATTAAATCCATAGTTAATTGTGGCTAAATCTAAATACACATAAACTTAATTCTAAGAAATACATCTCTTCAAACTACTTAATATAGTAAAATCTCACTTTTAATATGTAAAACACCTACAATGGCAACAGAAGCAAAATGAACTAGAGACCACTTAAAATGAAAAAAAATAATTACAGAAAAAAAGTAAAATAGTTCTATGCGTTTACTTGAAATATTTCAGTGCCAACAGCAAAAAAAATACAAACACACACATCCCTGAACTAGTCAATATTTTAATAATCCATAATATTAGCTGATATGTTAAAATGCCTTTATGAGTTGTTACCACCAAAAATAATACATCATAGAATTTTCAAGAATGTGTTCTTTGACTTCTAACCTCTGCTCTTCTTTAGAATTACCTGTCAGAAGGAAAAAAATAAGATTTAAATTACACCTTTAGAAAATAAAACATAATTCCTCAACAAAAGATTAAATAATCCTACATGCATAATACGCAAGACTGAATTTATAAAACCCAATTTGGAAGGTAATTAGGAAATCTTTTGTTATCAATGGTCTTATTAGATTTCTCTGATAATCTACTTCTCTCCATGAATATGAGATATGCCTACAGTCTCAAAATTTGGCTTTACAGTTAACTCTAGACACTAGTATCTTTAAATGTAAACCCAAACTGTACAGATTAATAGTTTCAAACCTGAGATTTTTAGACAATTTTAGTGATCCAAGGAGTAAAATATTTCTAAAACTCAAAAAGCCTATTCTAAATCAGGTATTTTACAACTATAAAATAGTATAAATACACTGCAATGCCAAATGTCTTATGTTAGAGCAGAAATTATATCAATTTGGAGACTGGTCATCTTAAGGGGAACAGCTTGCTAGGTAGACAATTTTCAAAAAATATAGCCTGTGACAGAAATAAAACTAAAGGAGATTTTTAGTTGTAAAATGTCTAGAGTATGAGGTCAGAACATTTCAGTTTTTTAAAAGCACTTCTATTTTAGGTAATAACTTATAATTTATTAATAAAACAAACCCTAAATTTAAAACATATACTTTTCAAGATATTAAGCCTTGCTTTACCTGCAGAAAAATGAGCTCCATCATCTTTCATAGTCTAGAAACTTGTTGGAATGTTTATAATTGCAAGAGAATCTAAAACTCCTAAAAAATGCCAGGGCATGCACATTTCTAGGTTTCCACAAAAGTCATCAAATAAGTCTAAACTCTACACCAGAAGGTATTATATACTCAAAGAAGGTATTATATCCTCAAATGAATTTACAAAATGCTGAGAATATCATGTACTAAAATAAGTTTAAAAATACTAAGTTAAACAGAGTTCAACAGGTTTCCTTATAGTTATATTTCTCATAACCTTTCATAACCTTACATAACTCTAGTTATATAAGAGTTATAAAAAACATTAGTATTGTGAAAAACTAGAGAAAGGGTACATTTAGAACTCAACTATTTTTACACCTCATTAATTACTTCAAAATAAAAATGTTAAAACCAAAAGTCTACAAATACGTAGACTGTCAAAAATAACTTTCTCTTCTGTATCATCCCCAGGCAACTATGGTTGCCAGTTTCTGACACTTTCTTATAGAAACAAGTCCTTCAATAACATTGTGGCTCATCTAGGAAGTATAGTGTGTTAGGTCATCTACACTTACCTTGTTCTGAAATAGAGCATCTATTTTATCTTTTGGAAAGAATGTTTTCAGGAACATATTTGGAAAACTCTGCCCTAAGAATCATATTCTTACATCATATAATAATGCCAGTTAAAAGCAATCTTCTCTGCTTATATAAAAGATTTCATTCATAAGTCACTCAAATCTCAAAACAAAGCTAGAAAATCAATAACCAGGTAATTAGGATAATTTTAAATGATCAAGAAGTAAGCTTTGATAAATTTCAAGGTGATATATGCTCTTAGCCTACAGATTGGCAGTCAAACATTCTTTTTCCCCTAAATGCCCATGAATCTGACCATCAAAAATCTATAATATACAAATGGGGGAATCTAACTTCCAAATTAAAATCTATTAACACAAAAAAATCAAACATCAACTCAATCAACAAAGTTAAGTAAAGCATCTAAATCAAGAAGAGGTGGTATTTTAGAAGTTAATTTTTGCTCAAGGAAAAAAATTAAGATTTTACCTTTGCTGCAGTCAATATATGCTCCTTATTAATGATTCCACACTTATTCTCACAAGCATTTGTCCTGGACTCTTCTGCTAATCGATGAACAAACAGTAAGCAGTTCAGATGGATCTTTAAAAAAGAAAACCCAAGTAGATTTTTAAACTTAAACACTGATGCTTTGAAATAATTACTTCTAAAAATTAATGAGCTTGAAATGTATTGTTATACTATTTATTATTGTGATTAAGTCAATTAACTCTTCTATTTATAATTCTATTTAGAGTTAATAGAATTCAGTCTAATACAAGTCCATCTTGGATTCCCTCAAAGAGACTTAGTCATCGTTGCAAGACATAAAACAAGTCTATACAGGTTGACCAAAGGACATAGACAATAGCATGATGGTAAAGCATCACTATATATCAAAACTTATGTAGGGTTGCATTAAATAACAAATATTCCTGCTCCAGATTCCAATTTGAATTTATAACTTAAGATTTCCAAAAATTATAGATCATAACATATCAACAACTATAGGCTATTATTCTACAATCTAAGGTCTAAGAAGATTTTTAAAAACAGATATTTAACTTGAAATATCTATTTTAAAAAATGTTAATCGTTGAAATTTGTAAAGTTTTCTGAATTGAAAAGCTTATGTACAAAGGTCAAATTATTTGTAATCTGACTACTATCACAATCATATCTACTATTAATCTTTAGTCTCTTAAAAAATTATAAGCAGACTGAAAAATTCAAAAACATAAAAAAACACAGTTATGTAAAATGTTAGCATTGGGGGGAGCTGGTAAAGGATGCGTGGGACCTCTGTATTAGTTTTGCACCTTCTTTTGAGTATATAATTATTTTATTTTATTTTTATTTTTTATTTTTTTGAGTGGGAGTCTCACTCTGTCGCCCAGACTGGAGTGCAGTGGCCGCTCCCGGCCGAAGCCTCGACCCGCTGGGCTCCAACGATCCTTCCGCCTCAGCCTTCCGAGTAGCCGGAATTACAGGAATGCACTACCATGCCCGGCTGATTTTTTTATTTATTGTAGAGATGAGGTCTCGCTGCCCAGGCGGGTCTCGAACCTGCGGGCTCAGGCAATCCACTCACCTCAGCCTCCCAAAGGCGCGGGATGACAGGCTGAGCCACCGAGGCTCAAAAAAATAAATAAATAAAAATAAAAAAAATAAAAAAGGTAAAACAAAAAATTCTACAAGATGGTACACTGTCAAAAATAAGTATCTCTCTCACATTATCCTCCAAATAGTCTACACTTCATCACACATTCTTACAGAAACAAGCCCTAATATAAGCAAAGCATATATATATGCTTTTATATATATATTTTATATATATACAGATATACATAATTATCTAATATAAATAAGCTCTACATCTTATATACCATATTATATATATATAAAATATCACTATCTGAATATGCAGAATAACACTTTGTTAGGTATTTTACTCAAATCAAAAAAAGTACTACTTAATCTACATGCACATTCCTTGAAAACAGTTAGGTACACATAGTCCAAGCAATAGAATATGTAAACAGAATTGAAGTCCTATCTCAATCCTCCCTCTGAGATTATATGTAGTATTTCTTTATTTATATCATTTCTATCATTGTTCACATCTTCCCCCCTTTGCTTCTGCCAGGTGCCTGAGGGCACTAGCAACTTAAATCCAGTTGGACAGTATCTTTACCATGTGACTTCTTTTGTTATTTATTTACATCATAGCACACGATCTTTATAGTTAGAACAATTCATACACAATACTTAACATTCACTATTTTGTATACTGCACACAAACACTCCAAGTTCACTACATGTTAAACAACTAGTAGTGTGGTGTTTTAATACTTTATATAATGCAAAAATCAATACTCTAAAAGATTTTTAAGAGTCTTTGAGTGATATTTGGAGGAAATGGGTTTGGAAATGAAAGTTAATAAGAACCTATGGAAGATGATATTATTCTGACACTTTTTTGATGTTCTGACTACTTTAATTCGCACAGCAACTCTGAGGTAAAGCACACTTATTCTGATTCTTTACATAATACCATGTCATTTCAAGTATATTTGTTAAACTGCCAGTGATAGCCCATTTCCTCTGGTCGCAAAAACACTCTATATTATGACATAATTTCATTTGTTAATCTCCATTTTCTACTTCTAAAGAGAAATAGTTTCCAGACACCCTCAGGATAAATTCCAAGTTCCTTAGCACTAAACCCCACTTAACCTGGCCTTCCCAGTTTCATCCCTTACCTTTCTCAGCTTCCAGTGCCATACTAGGCCTTCTGAACTCCCATCCAAATTCAAATGCCGCCTTGTCTCTAGCCGTGTTACGGGTTTACAGACTTCCCCGAGAGTCCAACTTTCCCCACCGCGTAAGGTTATGTTGATCCCCAGTACCCTAAACTTCCTAGCACTGTGCCCACTACATTGTGCTGTCGTTTCTCACTGTCTCCTCAATGTACCATAAGGGCAAGAACTACGTCTACCTTTCTCAGCATTATATTCCCAAGGCCTTAAGCCTACTGCTCAACACGCAGCAAATAATTATGACTGCATGAAGAAAAGATTCCTCCACATCTCCCCAAATAAGGCAAAAAAACATTTTTTTCTAAATCAACCCCAATTAAGCCACTCTGTTTTAAAGACTTAGTTCATTAGCCTACATGGAATGTCCTGTCCTCTTTATGGGTCTGAGCCATGGACACTGATACAAATTAGCATTACTTTTTCAGATGTCACAGAATTTTTTTTTAAGCAACATATGTCTATGTCATAAAACAGTTAATTGCACTCACATGCACTAGGCTTATTTTAAGTGGTTAGAACAAAAAACTAGTTTGTATTAAGCTAAGAATTCAAACCTGGAAATGATCATCTATTTTTTTTTTCTTTTTCTCAAGAGTTTTGTCTTTGGTAGACTTGGAACTGCCTGAGGTAAAATGATAAGCTATTAAATCAAGCATTTACTTTTAAAAAATCAGCTTGCTTGAAAAACAAATCAAAAGACAATTTACAGAGAAATATCCACTTTTTTGACCATCTCAGCTGACAGGAAGACTGGGTCAGTCTGATTGTCTCCTCTGTTTGTCATAACACTCTTGAATTTTCCATAAACTATAAGCACCCAGATATCTGTACAGCATTCCTTTAAATTTAACAGATGTTAAATTTCTCACTAGGACTGGCCATGGGAATATGCAATCAAATAAGATATAAAGCAAACAAAATAACAAAAAGCGAGTACAGAAGAACTATAAAATAACACAAAGAAATTGTAAGTAAAATGCTATAAATGACATCAATTTGCATATAGTTATCATGCATTTTCAATATCAATTGTACACTCAGAATGTTCAAGGTATTATGCTAAACACTAAGAATATTAAAAGTTCTCGAGTTCCCAGACTAGAGGAACACTCAAACCCATAAGGAAAAGAAAGACAAATTGTGTGACAACAGATGATAAAGAAGAAAAGATTGATCCTTTCTAAAGAGATTAAGAAAGGTTCACTTAAAAGTGCCATCTGAACTGGATTTTGAAAGAATTACAGTTTGGAGTGAAGACATCTTCAGGCAGAAGAAATATGTACAAAAGACAGCATAAAGGTAGATTCATTTTGTGTTAAAGAAAATGGGAAACAGAAAAAGAGATATGGTCCCTTTCCCTCAAGAAGCTGATACCACACTGGGAGACATCAACATATGAAACTCCTGAAAACAGTGTTAGAGTCTCAATAGCTAAAATGTATGAAGCACACTCTCACTACCATCCAAGTTCAGAAAAATTAAGAAATCAAAACAAACTTCCTTAACTATAGAAAATTTCATGAATGAGGTGGGACACCTGCTGGGTACGATTATGAAATGTTAATGGTGAGCAGAAAACCATAAGCAAAGAAACTACGGTGATGCACACCATATAAAAGGAAGTGAGGAAAACTGTTTAATGAATGCTAAAGACAAGCATACTACCTGGAAAAAGCTGGTGGCCAAAAGATCTTTCTGTTCCCCGCTCCCCACTACAACCGCTCGGAATTTCAGTTCCCCCTCGTTCCCATGGCACCTAGATCCCACCGGCCCATGGATCACTTTGGGGCACAAGGGGGAGATGTGGGAAGATGCTGACAACTTGAGAAATTTCTGCCAAACCATCTGCACCAGCTGCCAGTCTCCTGGATACCCGTGGTCAGGCACATCCGCTCTCCCACTTTAGAAGCCCCAGTGAAAATTCCGAAATAAACTACCTAAAAATGTTTTCCCAGTGAGTTTCACTTGAGTCCAGCGCATCTCTAACACCTCTGCCACCAGCATGGGGTAGTGGGTTGGGATGGGGATACAAAACAGCATATGTTGCCCTTTCCTACAGGATCCAGGAGAGGTACAAAAAGGAAGACGAGAGATAGAAGTCGTACTTCTTGGGGGGATGGGAAAGGAGGGCGGAATGTATTCTGGATACCAAACAAACAAAGGAAAAATGGAAATAATTCTACTCCTCTAGCAAAAAGAAGGCAACAGAGGACATGAGGAAGCTACAGAGAAAAGAGCTGTTAGAGAAACCAGTGTGGTTTAAGAACAGCTGGAAGGACGTCTTCCCAAGGCTATCCATGCAGTATATCGTTATTATTCACAATTCTTCATCTTGATCTCCTGCAAATTGGGAGTGTACTCATAATGGTCTCTTGACTCAAAGAGCTTTTGTGACATACCACAGGACGTGCCTCCAGTGGTTTAAACCTAGAGAAACAGTGTTCACTCTGCTAAAGGAATATGCATCCCAGGCATTGAACCCACACACTAAACTTACTTCAGGACCTACAGTGGTTGGGTGGGGGCTATTTATCAGGAGCGCATTATCCCTCAGGTGTTATGAGTCAGATAAGCAGGCTGTAGTGGTCTGGCTTAAATACCGAAATATTATTTGCCTAGGAAATAACATGTCTGGTAGTCTGGCTTAAATACTGAAATATTATTTGTCTGGGAAAATGAACTCACAGTTGTGGGCATTCTACGTACAAAAAAAACCCCTTTGGTTTATCGTATTAGCTGTATTTTAAAGAGTTCCCTCGTTTCCGTGACAATTATCCTTTAATTAGCAGCCTAGCCAGGAGGAAGCAGGGCAACGTGTGTGGTTAGCAACGTAAACAGAGCAGGGAGGGTGGAAAGAAGACAGACACTTACAAGGCACGTCGGCAGCGCCTTTTACAGAAATGACCGAGCTTGAGTTCAAAATCTCTTTTTAAAGGGTGTATTTCTCGCAGCTTTCGCGCGTACACAAGCCACAGTGCCAGACAGTGGAATCGCTGAAGAGCGAGATCTTAAAACTATAAGCGGGAAAATGGCTTTTTTTCCTCCTTCAGCAGTAGTGGCGAACAGCCTCCCTTTTAAAAAGGTCCCCATGTTGGCATTTCGGCGGGCCAAGTTACCACGAAGCATCAGGAACACCAACAGGCACGCCAGGCAGGGGCAAACCCCTTAAAGGTGGGCAGCTGCGTGTTTAAAAAGACGGGTGGGGACGGAGCCATCGACGGACGGGCGACGGAGAAACAAACTTCCCCCACTCCCCCGGGCCCCAGCCCCGGCCCAAGAAGGGGTGGAATCTCACCAGCAAGTCGCCACTCTTCTCCAGACGGAGGTGAGGCTTCCGTCGCTTGAAGACCCGCTTGAGAAAGCCGCGGGGAGCCTTCCGCTTGACCCGCTTCCTCCGGGGGACTGTGGTCGAGAACGCCATCTCCCCTTCCCAGGGACCAGCCGCCTGGACGTCCGGGGTCCTCCTCGCACACAAGCTCACGGCCACCGGGGCCTCGAGAACCGCCCGGCCCCTCGGAGCCCCTGCACGCCCGAGACCCAAGTCCGAACGTTTGAATCCCCCGCCCACGGCGCGCGCCCGGCGCTCCGCAGTGACGTCCGCCCGGCGCAAGCTCCGCCCCCCGGAGGCGCCGCCGAGCGGAACGCGGAGGCCGCCCGCGGTGGGCGGGTCTCGGGAGCCCGGCGGGGAGGGAGGGGCCCGCGGCGGGCTGGCGTCGCTTTCTGCTTGCGTCACCGCTGCGTGGTGGGACGGTCTCGCCCGGGTTCTCTGGGGATGGTTGGGAATGGCGGCGAGGGTGGCGGGTGTCTGC